TTTCTCTGGTTATGAGCAGCCTCACACAACCTAAAAGGATGTTAATGAAGAATACTGGGGGGCAGGTGAGCAAACTCTGCATCTCTCAGCTGATGGGCTGGTTGGACTGGAAAACGTCTCGCTGAGGGTGCAAGGGCACCCAGGGACATGCGATGAGCGATGCCTGTCCAGCGTGTCCCCTTGTGCTTGTCCTGGGAAACTTGGGCCTCTGCGCAGCTGTTTTCTTCACTTGGTGCCTTTGGGCAGCCTTCTTCCAGGTCCTGCCAGCTCACAGGAAGTGGCTGACCTCGGGGAAAACAGCGTCCATGTCTGTGGCACAGAATCGTCACGGTTAGCCGCTGCGGACGGTGTAAAATTAAAATGACTCCTGAATGAAACAGGGCTTAAATTTAAGTCCCAAAGAAGGTTGCTCAGTTAACAGCTAAAGTAGCCAGAAAAAGCACTTGGGAACCAGGGAGAAAATCATGGGGCTGGTTTTGCAAAGCCCCCGAGATGCCGCAGGCAGACGTGGCTGGGTGTGCTGGGCCCAGGGAGGGTCCTGCTGGAAACGCCTGACACTAAGGCACGTGGGTGCTGCGGGCCAGAGGGGGCTGGATGCCACTGCCCTCCGGCCCTCCGCCCCCCCCCGCCCCCCAGCCACCCCTGGGGTCAGGCAGACACCGCCTGTGAGCAAATGCACCGGCACTGCCAGCCTCCAGGCCTGTGATCAGGAGTGGGCTTCCCACACGGCCTGGGGTGGCGGCCGGAGGGCCCAGAACAGCCTCTGTGAGGGCGTGCCCAGAGGCGCCTCAGGTAACCCCTCCTGGACAGACGCCCTGAAGAGCCTGGGGAGATTGGGCCCCCGATGGCCTCCTGGGACTGTCCACTGCTGCACCTTCCACCCTGATCCACGGGGCCAGCCGGTGCCTCTCTATGGCTGGCGGGACTCCATGGTATGGACAGGCCTCAGTCTGCATCTCCATTCATGTGCGCAGTTTCTAGTTTTGAAAGCTGCTATGATCTCACTCATTCATGGATAATAAAGACCATTATAAACTTATGAACAATAATAGATACAGAGGCAGAGCTGCCTCAAACAGATTGTCAAACTGCAGAGGGAAGGCCGGGGAGGGCTGGGGGGCAAAAGGGAGGGGGGTAAGAGATCAACTGAAGGACTTGTATGCATGCATATAAGCATAACCAATGGACATAACACACTGGGGGGTAGGGGAGGCCAGGGGATTGTCAAGGGCGGGGGGGAAAAAAAAGGGACACATATGTAATACCCTTTGTAATACTTTAAGCAATAATAAAAAAAAAGAATAAAAGATATAAAATATGGAACAAAAAAAAAACAAAAAAAAAGAAAGCTGCTATGAACATTCATGTAAAGGAAAAAAAGAAGCCATTCCAGACGTAGAGGGCCCAAAGTCAACACTGAAGGGACTGACTGAGAGCCCTGGGCCTCCCGCAAGGAGCCACCCGGCACTGTGCGGGCTCCTCTGCAGAGCACCTGCCTGTCCCACGTGAGACGCAGGGACAGCCTGTGCCCACTCCGCAGCGCACCCTGGACGGTCAGGGAAACTGGCCAAAGCCCTTCCACTGGGGCCACACAGCCGCGGGCAGATGGCAGGGCCCCTGAATCCCTGGCCCCGGAGCTCAGCTGGCTCCCGGCACCAGGTCAGGTTTGAGGAAAGCCCCGGGCCTGGGGACTCGACCAGGATAATCTGAAGCTTTGCAAACGTGAAGCATCCTCCCGCGGCTGGGTGTCTGGAACAGGGCCCGTGCCTCACGGCGTGGGAGCTCCGTGGCGACTTGCTGAAGCCCCAGGTCCTGTTGATGCAGGGGCTGGGCTGCGCAGAGCCGGGGTCCCATCGGGGGTGCAGAGGAGGAACCCCGAGGACCACCGGGGGGCCCCGCTGCTGCGGACACCCATGTTTCTAGTAAGTTGGTGTCACTGCTGTTCCAGGCAGCTCAGCTGAGTAAACAAACTTCTCAGCCATCCATTAAGCCTCGGAGGCTGAGGAACCTGCTCTCTTATCCACCCAGGCCCGGCACAGGCCCCGCTCTGCACGGCGGAGGCCGCATCAGGCAGGGAGCTCGCCGGGGCCGTCACAGCCTGGCTTGGTCCCCATACCCTGAGCTTGGCCACAAGATGTCCCCGGGACGCTGCTCACCAGCTGCCTGGGATGCTCTGTGCCTCTGCTTATGTCTTCAGCACGAAGGCAAGGGCCAGGTACCGACATGGGGTCTGCGTCACCAACACCCACCCTTCACCACCTCTGGGCGTGGGGTGCTGGCAGTCGACACGCACAGCTCCCCCAGCACTGTCTGTGGAAGCACCGCATGCTGACCTGCAGTCCGTCCCTTGTCCGTGACACACCCCCATGGTACCTCTGTGATCCTGACAAAGGACAGCGTCATCGAGATTCTTGAGGAGCTGGCGGCATGGACTTCCACTGGGGCCGGGCACAGTCCCTCCGCCGGGACCAGTCTCACAGCCTCCTGAGTGCCCAGCTCAGTGCCCGGCGCCTCGGAGTCCAAGCTGAGGCGGGACGGCCACAGGGGTGCCCAGCACAGCAGTGGGTTCGAGCAGGGCTGTGGAGGGGCGCAGGATACTGACGAGGTGCCCCTCCCTGTGGCGGTATCTCCCCAGCACCCTAGGAGGGACGTTGCCACTTGCCCTTTGCCTGTGTTCACGGCTTTGCTTCCGCGAGGCCAGGTGGGTTTGGAGCCCCGTCTGACAGTTCTGTGCTATCTGGCAGTCGCCCATGGCGGCCAGCGCCTCTGGAAATGGCGTGGAAGCTTTGCTGGAGGTCAGGGAGATGTACAAGACTCGCGAGCCCGGCCATGGGCAGGACCAGCAGAGGTTCATGCTGAAATGAACCCACAACCTGGCTCCCTGCTGCCTTCGGCCGCGTGGCCGGCGGTGCCTCCAGAGATGAGACAAATGACAGAAGTTCTGAGGTGGCTCACAGGCTCCGGCTGCTGCCCCAGCGTGTGGCCTCCTGCGGAGCCGTGGCCAGGCTGCGGCTTGGTGAGGTCACCCTCCATCTCTGACCTGGCAGCTCCCTGGAGGAGCCCCGAGAGCACAGCTCATCCAGCAGCTTCCCTCTCGTCTCATGAGGCTCATGTTGCAGCCCAAACAGCTACTCCTCACTGACATTCCTGCTGTGGAAATCCCTCTGGAAGTGTCCCCAACATCCCAGTGGCCTGGCTACAGGACACTCGGGGCCTGTGTGGTCCCTCCCTACGGTGCCAGAGGTCTCCCGCAGCAACTGGCCAACAGGGCCAGCATGGGAGGCCAGTCCCTGCACTGGGCGATCCATAGCTCAGGACCAGGCTGCCTCCCCGGGACGGTGCTCAGCTCCTGAGCGGTGGCCAGAGGCCCTGGGGGAGGCTGGGCGGAGATGGCAGTACCTGCTGTCGGCAGTGCAGGGGGGTCTTTCCTCAAGGGGCCTGGGTCTGTGATCGAGGGGCCCGGCCTCTGTTTTGGTAGCCCAGGTCCAATGTCATTTCCTAGAAACAACCCTTCTGCTCACACGGACCAAGTCGGACTTTAGCAGGCTGACCCTCTGTTCACTTCCAGGGACCACGATCACCAGCCCGTGCCTCTGCCTCAGCGCGTCAGATTGCTGACTGGGGCTGCGCCCCCACCAGGCACCCTGCCTTTAGCACCTGAGCGCCACCAATAGCCCTGCCACCCCGGGAACCCCCGCATTTAGAGATCCCTGCTCTGTGGCAGCAGCTCCCACTGTAGTTTCTGGCCCGTGGAGAAGGGCATGCAGTTCTTCAAGGGCCAGGCCCTCACTGCTGTGGTCCCCACGGTCGCGGGACAGGCGCGCCCTCTGGACCCTCCGGCAGTGGGTGAGTTGGCAAGTCGCCTAAACACCCTCATCTCCCTAAGCCCTCAGATCCCCCCTCTGCGTACCACAGGGCGGTCTGGCCTTTCAGTCCTACTTATGTGCCTGCCTGTGGTCCATGTTTCAAATGACCCACGAGACCTCAGGCCTTTCCGATTCCCGGCGCTGCGGCATCGAGCGCAGATTCTGTCAGTGGACCTGTTCAGTGGACTCGCCTGATGCATCTCATCTTCCTGCCACCTGGGCCCACACGTGTGCTCCAGACCTCCGCCTGCAGAGCCGGGAGGACCATGCAGCTCTCCTGGAGCAGAGCCACCGCACGGGTCACACTTGGCTCCTCACCCTTGGGGCCTGCGGGGCCTGCGTCTGGTTATAAGCAAAGGGGGGGGGGGGCTGAGGATGCTGAGTGTCCCACGAGGCCCCTGCCTACGGGAGGCCATTCTAGGTGCTTCAGGTAAAGGAGGGCTGACCTCCTCAGGGAGGGCCCAGAGGGGGCTCTTCTGGCAAAGAAGCCGGCAGAACAAAGGGGCCTGAGACCGCCGGCTTCCCCGGGATCTGCTGTAGCTCCTACCCCCTTTGAAGGATCCTACTTCTTCCCTATCAGTGATTCCGCTTTAAGAGAAGACCCCCTGACGTGGGGCCCGGCCACAGATGTGAGGAGGCTCTGGGTGCAATGCTGACTGGGCTGCTAGCTCCCAGCTGCCCTGGGTGTGGTGCAGGCTGTGACGGTGCCTTGGCTGCTGGGGGCCTGGCCTGTCACATAAGCTCCTGTGCTTCCCGCCCCAAAACCGCCCCGGACATGGCCTGAGCCACCCTTGGTCTCACCCTCTTTGGGCGGCCCTTCCCCCCACTAATCCTGCGTTGGCCTGCCCCAGCTGGGCTCTCTCTGCCCAGTTGCCTTCACCGCCCCCCTCAGCGCCCTCTTTCTGCCTGGCCTCCTTAGTCAGTCACTTCCTTCTACTGCCCTGGCCTCGGACTGTGAGTCAGAGCTCCCGGCTGTCCTTGGGGTGAGGCGCCCCGTGGAGTCGGCAGGTCCTGGGGACCACACTCAGTGTCCCCTGCTGGATACAGGCTGACCAGCCAGCCAGGTGGAGGGTCTTCGCTATGACCCTGAGAGGGGAAGAGGGGTTGCCTTGGAGAATTCATACCTCGAGCCTGCAGGTTTGCAAGTTTAAGTTTACTGTAAAGCACCCCATGGCCTCTTACCCAGGTGACATGTGCCCAGGTGTCTGCCCAGTTACCCTGTAAACTGCAGTCACGGCTGCACAGATGCCCTATTTCACAGGAGGAAATAAGCCGCGTGCAAAAAGCGAGGACTCCACGGACCAAGCTCTTCTCGAGACTGGAGGAGGAGAAGCGGTGACTTGCTGTCCACAGGGGCCCTGAGCATGGCTTCCACATGCCTGGGTCAGGCCTAAGTGTGGGTGCCACCTCTCTGTCCTCCGTGTGTCCAGAACAGGGAGTGGGCAAGTCACGAGCGTGGGTAGAGCGACCAGATGCTGATGCGATGATCCCTGGACCCCGCGGCCAGCAGGCCGTCTGCGGCGAAGGCCACGCAGTGGACCACAGCGCTGTGGAAGGCCAGCACGGCCAGTGGCTTCATCGTCCGCCAGTGAAACACGCGAACCCGATGGTCCCAGCCCGCAGTGGCCAGGATCTTTCGGTCAGGCCGGATCTTGACGTCAGAGATCCCAGGATTGGTGAGTTCATGAGTCCCGCGCACCTACAGGATCGAGAGAGGCAGAGAGTCATTAGGGGGCTTCTGAGACCCGTCACAGAGGCTCCCATCTCCAACATCCCGCCCACCCCGTCCAGCAGCCAGAACAGGACGGAAATGTGGGCTGCTACGCAAACTCACCCCTTCCTCCTGGGAGCGGCTGGCCGAGGGAAGCGGCCTGACCCCTGCCCTTAGCCAAACCCTGGGGTTATGATGGAGGACTTCGGACCTTCCCTCAGAGAGTCCCGAGGCCCCACAGAGCTGCCCCCTGCACAAGCTCCTGCACGAGGTCTGCTGGGAGTTGGGGGCTCTGATCCCCCCCATCAGGCCCTCAGGAAAAAGGTCAGTGGGCGGGATCGTGGGGCCCCTCACACTGCACCCAGTGTCCAGATGAGCAGCAACATTTCCAGCTCGATGGCAACACGAAGCTGGCATGCCTCTCTCCGGAGAAACCTCACACCCGCCCAAAGCACCCGGAGTACAGCCAACGCAAAGCCCATCTTCAGCAAAACAGATGAAGTGAAACCTCAAAAGGCGAGAGGGGTTGAAGGCCAAGAGTGGGAACGAGCAGCACGTGGGCGAGACGAGCGGAGGACAACACTGACCACAGGCCGCAGGGCACGGCTAAGGCCGCGCGAAAGCCTTCGTCCCCAGCCTGGGTCCCAGGAGGAAGCGATGCTGGCACAAAACAAGGAGCTGCACAGGCACATCATTGGTGTGGAGCAATCATCAGGGCTGGCATCTCAGGCGCTGACACCCCCACACTCCTCAGTGCCAGGCGATGACCCCTCAGTGCCAGTGTCTCCTGCAACCAGAGCTGCCTGTGGTCACGCGGCTCTCGGTTACACAGGACTGTGCCTTGCTCTGCAGGGCACCTGGCACCTCTGTCCCCCCAACACTAAATGACAGAGGCACTTGGCCGTCATTGTGACAACTCCAACTGGCCATCTCCTTCCACTGCTCCTGTGTTTGGCCTGGCTCTGTGTATCACGGGATCACGCTGCCCAGAACTCACCTGGCCACCCCTCACCAGCACCCCCTGTTCTCCTGATTCACCTCCCAATGGGGCCACAGTGCCCTAGATGAGAATCACTCATTTCTTCAAAGATAACTCAAGGGAAAGGAAGGAAAGAAATGGCCACATTCCTTGGAAGCCAATGGCAAATGTCAGCAAGCATTGCGGCCTTAAATTCACAAACAAAACTTCATGAAGCAGTTCCCTCTATAAAACAAAAACCCAAAGCAGCACAAGAGAGGAGGAACGCACTGGCAGAGCACAGGACGAGGGGGAAGGAAAACAGAGACACGAAGGGGAATCGGGAACAGCAGACGGAGCCTGCTGTTCGGACATAATAGCGAAAAAGCCCCTTTGGTAGTCAGGCAAACGGAGCAAGTCGGTTTATGAGGGTAAGGTTTAGGCTGTCCTCAGAATGTTCCAGGCCACATCTGTGCCAGCAGACGGCAGAGTGATGCCTGCAGAGGCTGTGGAGGAGGCAGGGCCCCAAGAATTTTATATCCAGCCAAACTGCCGCTCAAGTATAAAAACAATAGACAAGCATTTTTGAACATGTAAGAACTTAAAGTTATAGGCTCCCATAAGCTCTTCCTGAAGGACTAGGAGATTAACCCCAGTCTCCTAAGAGAACTGGAGAACTGCAGCAAATGGCCTGGCAGAGAACACGGCATCGACTTACCTGTAGGATTAGGTCTAAAACAATATGGGGATTATGGCTATAGAACCGGTTATGTAAGTAACAGAAATATGGGAGGGTAGCAAGAGGGATGGGATGCTAAGTTACGGATTTGCCCATCTTCTGTCATTTGGGGAAAAGATACAATAGTCAACCTCCTATTTGAGAGATTATCGACGCTCTGTCAATAATGACAAAACGTTATTTCCTCTGCCCCACCACCCCAGACTTTAGGTACCTTTGTTTCCTAGCATTTTCCCTTGTATTTCTCCACCAAGGATTAAACAACAGATTTATGATTGGAATCCAAAGTTAATCCAAATCTGTGCTGCGTATGAGGGAGATGCCAACAGAATGACTGGCAAAGATATACTAGGAGACTGCAGACAAGAGAAAGAGAGGTCCAATCCTACGAAGAAAGGCTGAATTCAGAGCCCAAAGCATTGTGTCAGACTATGTACCATACTTAACAGTGATAAAGGCTACAAGTCATAATAAAGAGCTATGAATATCCATCAACAAATAAACATCTTATCGTTCGTGAAGCAGGAATAATCGGAAAGTGGCTGTGACGGAGTAACTGGTACCAGGCCAGTCCTCTTGCTGTAAACAACCATCAAACTGGACAAAATATACTACACAACTATGAACAGGTACCGGACAACAGGAGGCAAGGGCAGCTGATGAGATAAATCTCCCAAATGCCCCAGCAGCTCTCTGCCCGGGGAACGTCCCAGCCATGGGTCCAGGTGGAGCCCAGCAGCTATGTGAAGTAGAAAGGCAGGGGTCAGAGTGTGGGGCAGCGAGAGCAGCTGAAATCTGGGGCATGGCAGCGGCATAGAGGGGGCTGGTGGAGGGGCTGAAGGCCGTGTGTGGTCCCATGACTTCTGTGGGAGGCTGCATGCTCAGGGCACCACACCAGGTTCACCAGACAGTGGCTGCTACAGGGTTAAACATTACAGATACAAGAGACCAACAGCAATCTCGGGCCCAGCCGGGACCCGAGTGCAAAGACAGCCTGACAATCTAATACTCACTGAGATGCCACATGGCCTGGCTTCAAGAATGAGGATTACACCTTCGGGCAGGGCCCACTCCAGACTTACTGTGACAAAGCGGGAACCAGGCCCTACGAGTTGGGAAGTTGGTCCCACCACATTAGAGTAACCTGGGAATGACCCTGGGCTTCCCACAGACCTGCCCTAACAGGGCACAAAACCAAACCCACACAAGTTCAAGGTGAACAGCCAGTGACTACACTGCCTGCGAGAACAAAAGTGAACACTCTTCAAAGCAAAAGAATAGAATTCAGAGTCTCTATCCCATATTATTTACAACGTCCAGCAAACAAACAAAAAATTATTAGACACGCCAAGAAGCAGAAATGTATTATGAGGCATAGTCAAGGGGGGGAAAGCAGTTAATAGGAACTGACCCAGAATGGCACAGATGTTGAACATATCAGACAGAGATTTTAAAGCAACTATTTAAATATGTTTTTAAAGAAAACATGAAAGGAAATGCACTAAATAATTACCAAGAAAAAAAAAAAAACTGCCTTGGTGAGTGAACAGATAGGAACTATTACCAGAGAAATGAAAGTTATATTAAAAAAAACACCAACCCAGAATAGCCAACACAGTATTAAAGGAGAAAATAAAGTTGGAAAACTGATGCTACCTGACTCTCAGGGCTCGGCAGCACCAGCCTCTGACCGGACGCACATTTCAGACGAGTCTGTCACTGCACCAAGTCTTCCACCTCAAGGGCAGGGTCAGGCCAGAATGAAGAAGTGCCCCCTTGCTCATTAGGTTTGTTTAAAGAGAGCCTCCAGCCCTAGCTGGTTTGGCTCAGTGGATGGAGCGTCGTTCTGCTGACTGAGGGGTCCTGGGTTCGATTCTGGTCAAGGGCACATGCCCGAGTTGTGGGCTCGATCCCCAAGAGGGGGCGGGGCATGCAGGAGGCAGCCAATTGATGATTCTTTCTCATCATTGATGTTTCTCTCTCTCCCTCTTCCTTCCTTTCTGAAATCAATCAAAATGTATTTAAGAAATTAAAAATGAATAAATAAATACAGAGAGCCTCCGCTGTCTCCGTTGTGAAAGATGGGGGTTAGGGCTGGGAATGGCACAGTGGTGTAAAATGTGCCGGGGTAATAGGGTAGCTTATTTAGAGAGCAAATATTCACCAGGACCCAACCATGTTTTCAAATGATCATAAATTATTTTATCAGTGCATTTGCAAAGGTTTATAAAAACATCCATAATATATTTTTTCCTTAGATTCTAGAGTTACCAGTGTGACAGCTAATGCAATAATGATTTGTTTCAAATGTCAGTGTTTAAGCTGCATAAAGCTGATTTTATTCATTTTTCTGGTTGGTTGCATTCTTGTTAATGAAATTAACACACCCATCACATTTGTCCCCAGGGGACAAGGATCTGATTTATTTTTCTATTAAAATCAGTTGCAGACAACCACATTTGGATGGCCCTAAATGGGGTTCACCCAGGAGCCAAGGGGCTCTCTGGGCTTCCGGGCGCAGTTCATTAGCACCAGGGCTGGGTGAGGCGCCAGCATTCAAGAGATTATAACATCTGAAACCTACAATGTTAAAAAATGAAATTTTTGTAATAATATATTTTTATTTCCTGTGATTTTTAAGAAATAACAACTGATTTTTTTTAAAAAAATATTTTTTTTTATTGCTTTCAGAGAGGAAGGGGGAGGAGAGAGATAGAAACATAAATGCGGCCCGAACCAATATGCTCAATTAATATTTGACAAAGGAGGCAAGAACATACAATGGAGCCAAGATAGTCTCTTCAATAAATGGTGCTGGGAAAATTGGACAGATATATGCAAGAAAATGAAACTAGACCACCAACTTACACCATACACAAAAATAAACTCAAAATGGATAAAGGACTTAAATGTACGACAGGAAACTATAAAAATTCTAGAAGAATCCAAAGGCAACAAAATCTCAGACATATGCCGAAGCAATTTCTTCACTGATACAGCTCCTAGGGCACTTGAAACGAAAGAGAAAATGAACAAATGGGACTACATCAAAATAAAAAGCTTCTGCACAGCAAAAGAAACCATCAACAAAACAACGAGAAAACCCACTGTGTGGGAAAACATATTTGCCAATGTCATATCCGATAAGGGCCTAATCTCCAAAATTTATAGGGAACTCATACAACTTAACAAAAGGAAGATAAACAATCCAATCAAAAAATGGGCAAAGGACCTAAATAGACACCTTTCAAAAGAGGACATTCAGAAAGCCAAGAGACATATGAAAACATG